GAACAGGGCCATCGGCATTGGTTTTCCAAGGGTTTGTAGGACATTCCTTTCGAAAATGCCCAGATTTACCACAACCTATACATAATCCTTGTGTCATCCAACATTCTCCTGGGTGATGTCTTCTACAAGTGTTACACTTTGGATGTTTCCACACTCTCAATTTGTGTTGAGTTAACAAAGGTTTTCTTCTTTTTGAGGGTGGGACACTACAAGTTCCAGTCAAAGGCTTCTTTCCTTTTTCGGTATCGCACGAATAGACTTCACACTTGAGATGTTTTCGCATATATATTCGAGATGAACTTGGTCGGTTTAGAAATCAGCTTTGCTTTCACCTCTATAAGGTTACCATCATTGGTCTTCAGTTGAGGAATTCTTCATCATAAGTTGATAACAGCAACGACGTTCAGTCCGTTAATGCATACTAAGGATAATGTCGATTTCCTTGTATGGTACTTCAACGATGTTTTACAAAGAATTGTTGCTTAACGAATGATTTCGATTGACATTAAGTAATCGCATAATGTGTCCTAACGAGTCAAACAATAGTATCAGATACTTTAGATAACAGAGTTTATTGATTCTAAACGTTCATGTTTGAATCAGCGATTAGATCATCTTGAGTCCATATGAGGATCTTTGACATCAGCTTCACAGATGTTTCTCAACATTTATCGTTTCATCATAGTCGTCTCACTTTCGTACAATTTTGCGATGCAGATCAGTTTCGTCATTTGCGATGCGAAATGTACGTTGATAACGTATCAGGAGATTATAAACATATCGTTTATTCGTTCGTCTCTTCACCGAGTACAAAAGTTCAACTAGAGTCTACGCTCGATACGGTTTCAGTACTAATCAATTGATATTTAATGAGAATTCTAATAGAGTCATTATTTACTAAGTAAATTCTCATACCTTTTTCCTGGAGCAGAGGGACGCGAGAGTCGTGAATGTGATTGACAATATTTTTTTTTTAATTCAATTTTTTGATCCGAAGATCGGTTTTAAAACCATTTGCTCCGATACCAAACTGTAACACCCTAATCTGTCCAGGTCTGCAGCCCCTTTCAGATTAAAGTATTAACTTGGTAATCGTAAAAATTTCAAACATTTCAAACACTTTTATTTATCACAATAATATTTTTCATAATATAAACAGTACGGAGTTTTCCATATTGCGGAAGCTTAACAATCATAATCACAAACATAATTTATTTATGTTCTTTAATTCAAAACCATCACATCCATTCCGACAATCTCGCCTCCGTCTGCCTCCAGGATCACGTCACTTCATTAACCTGCGTGTAGCAAATAAAACATACTACACGCTCAGCGTTGAAGCTGAGTAAGCATATCTAATGCATCGAACATCCATATAAACTGAATCTAAATTCATAATCAAATCATTTGATATCATGCACATAATGTTCAGTTCAGATAATCAATAATTATTAAAAATTATTCATCATGCATTATTCAACATTTATATTCACATTCAATGTTCATCAGTCATTCATAATAATTGCAATATTCAATTCAATATTCATCATTCAATATTTACTCATATTCAATATTCAATATTCAA